GGCACCGAGCGGTATGCCAGCGAAGACACTGGGCCCCTAAGGGGGGTGGATTGTGAGATCCCACATCGGTTGGAGAGAGGAATGACATTCCTTATAAGAGTGTGGAAACCTCTCCCTAATAGATCGTTTTAAAACCGTGAGACTGATAACGATACATAACTGGCCAAAGTGGATAATATTTGCTAACGGTGAGTTTGAGCTATTACAATTGATATTAGAGTTGGCGCCGAGCGGTGTGCCAGCGAGGACGCTAGGATCCCAAGAGGGTGGGCTGTGAGATCGCACATCGGTTGAAGAGGGGAATAAAACATTTCTTATAAGGGTGTGGAAACCTCTCCTTAGTAGACGCATATTAAAACAACTATACATAATGGATCGAAGCGGACAATATCTACTAGCGGTGTGCTTGGGTTGTTATAACGATGCATTTGTCTTTTTACATTATTGAGAGGACAACGTGAACCCATGTGGAAGCCATGAAGCATGTTGGATTTGATTATGTTTTACTTCCATTTTCTTCATTTCTATTAACAATGATTATGAACTAAAATATTAGAAAGTAAGTTTAAGCTTAAAAGAGTGACTTCGTTTCATTATTACCTCGAGCTCCTCAAAGATCGTTGTTAGTCTAATTTATCATTATTTTAGTCTAGGCTCGATTTTTTGAAAACCTAGCCGGGTTTATAAACTTAGTTTTCAAAAACTAAATAGTTATCGAACGAAACGTCCCCATTTATCTCTAAGCTGAATTGCCCCTCTAGCCTCGTTCTCATTGTAATGAAATTGAAACAGAAAGGAAAGATAGTTCACATCGATCGATATCTTTCTCGTGCTTCCAAAAGCCGAGACTTTTTTTTTTTTTTTTAGTTCAACAACTTGTAGGGTGGAAGATTTAAATGTCTAATATCTTATTATATGCTTTGATTGGTTAAACTATGCTAAAGTTGATTGATAAAGTCGAAATTGTTTATTAGTTGTGTATATCGATGAGCATGATTAGTTGTACTCGAGTTTTTTTTGTCTTATACATGTTTTGGTGCAGGTCATGGCTCTTGCCAATACGAGTTTATTCCATAGTGAGAAGTAGAATCAGAAGAGATCACTATTTCTACCACTTAGTTGTTTATGATATCTATGTAAACTGACAAGATAGTCTCAATCGCTTATAGAGCTTCGATCCTTTATTATTTTCAAAACTTTACTTTATTATTTTTTTAACGTTGATTAAAGTAGACAAAAAAAAAAAAAAAAAAAAAAAAAAAAAAAAAAAAAAAAAAAAAAAAAAAAAAAAAAAAAANAAAAAAAATAGGAGTAGACATCAAACTGTGTGTCATCCAAGATGTTGGGCCTCAAGGGAGTGGACCTCTCCCTAACTAATGCGTTTAAAACGGTGAGGTTGATGACTATACATAATGGATCAAAGCGAACAATATTTGCTAACGGAAGGCTTGGACAATAACAGACTCGTTGGATAAATGTTAGCTTTTGTGATTTTTTTTTTTTGTCTCTAACGGTTTAACGGTAAATTCTTACAACTCAAATAAGTCTCGTAACGATAGAACTAATTCTAATCTAATGTATAAAATTTAAATTAGGTTAGTTCAGTTTCAACGAGTTTCAATCAAAACTCATATGTTATCTGTCGTAATTGTTTAGTAGAGTAAGTACTGCCCTTTAATATTACCTGAATTTAGTTTCTAAATTTTCGAATATAAAATTGAAATGAGAAGACAAGACGTTCGGCTAATTGTGTACGAACTTTGAAACTTTAGTAACTAGAGACAACTTAGAATTTCGAGAGACAAGATGAGAATCAAAGACATGGAGATGACAACAAAAAATAAAAGGTCCCACGAGTTACCCTAAATGCTCAACAAAACGTGTAAATAGAGGTCATGTTTGGAGCTTGAGATGAGATAGGGAGACAAAAAGGAATAAAGAACCTTTAATATTCATAAGACTATACGACCAGATCTGAAGACAATGATAAAGTTCAAAACAATATTTGTCACCTCGTCCCTTCCTACTAACATAGAAACAAATTCTCGTAGTATAAGAGTCTCTACGTGAATATCTTCACGATCAAGCTGAATTAGAACACTACTCGAGTGGAAATGGTTCAACCCACATGCATCATTTGATTGAAGCACTTTAGTCTAATCGTCTTGAGCTCCGCTCAAGAGAAAGGTCTATGTTCCTACAACGATTTTGATAAGAACTGAAAACTCGATCTCGAAAAGGTTCAAAACTTCCCGAAAAGGTTGAACATGGTCGGGTAAGGTTGGTTCTAAAAGTCAAAAAGTTGTTTATATTAGTTTATTTTTCATGGAAGTTCGTAAAATTATGACACGAAGTTAAGCTTTGTTCTTGCTCACCCCACCAAAATTGTCATTTTTTGGGTGCATGCCATGCCATGCCATGCGTGCATTTATGTTTGTCTTTGTGGCGCCCACCTTATGTATAATTAATCCTTGAATCTTGGGAGGGACACTGTGCCAATTGCAATGGCTCTCTAATATTATTGAATATTTTTTTCTTATTCTCACCTTCACTATAAGAACGAGCGAGCGAGGTTGTGTCGTGTACATAGTTCCCTTCGTTGAATTAGAAATTTGACAAATACGTTGTTTTAAGTGAAACATTGTAGAAACAAGTTTCCGACACGTGCACCAATGAAATCTTTAACAATCATTGTACAACCATTTTTGACATCCACCCTTATAATAAATGTTTCGTTCTTCTCTCTAATCGATATGAGATCTCATAATCTACCCCCATTGAGATTTCAATGTCCTCTTTAGCACACTGCCCCATGTTTGACTCTGACACCATTTGTAACAACAGCCCAAGCTCATAGTTGACAAAAATTGTTTGTTTTGGTCCGTTATGTATTGTCGTCATCCTCACATGTTTATAATGGTTTCATTCTCCTCTCCAACAGATGTGAGATTTCACTTCGAAGTAATCTTTATGTAATTATTTTAGTTCAACCAAATCTCTGAAATTTTGAACGATAATAAATATATATGGAATTTGAATAAGGCCGTTCACAAACAAGTGTAAATAATTGGACAATAGAAAAGTTAATTAAATTGTCCATGTTTTAATGATTAATTGATATGCGTCATGACCATATTATTTACTTATCTTGAAACGCAAGCAGACTACTATTTCTACATATCAATACTGATCCAACTAAATCTAAATACACTTAATTTTGGAGTACTTATTACTGAGCCACTAAAAAAAGTGATACGTAAATATTATTCACTTTGGTCCATTATGTATCACCGTCAATCTCATGATTTTAAAACGCGTCTTCTAGGGAGAGGGAAACGAATCATTCTTCCTCTCTCCAACCGATTAGGGATCTCACAATCCACCCTCTTTCGGGGCAACATCCTCACTGACATATATTGCTCGGTGTCTAGTTCTAATACCATTTGTAACAACTCAAACTCACTTCTAGCAAATATTGTCCACTTTTGCCCAATTACGTATTACTATCAGTCTCATGATTTTAAAACACGTATGTTAACGAGTGATTTCCACATTCTTATAAAAAGTCGTTTTGTTCTCTTCTCCAACCAATGTGAGATATTATAATAACTATCAATTCTTTCTTAACCATCGTCTTATTAAAATCACTCTTATCTAGATGAAGTTTAACGGTCTGAAGTAAAGAGAAAAGGAAAAAGATTAGGCGCATAAATTTCATGAATTAATCCTTGTTCTAGAAGGATATCTAGATATGATTAGGGCTATATTGGGAATATAATCAATATCCTATGCTATTTTGGCACGCGCATAAAGTGATATGACAAAAACAAATAAGAAAAATTGATTGGAGGAGAAAATTATTTGAGTGGGAATTAAAATTAAATTGCATGTTTGTGGTGGGATATTTATTTAGAAGAAAAAAAAAAAAAAAAAAGAAGGTTAGGTGCATTGAAGCTAAATATTTTGATATTGTCCTATGTGTATTTGCACATGAATTGAATATATAATTACAAGCATCCAATGAAAAATCAAATCAAATCTAAATCAATTGATTCTCCATTTTTTTTTTCTTCTTTTAATTTCTCTCTCTTTCTTGCCTATTTGGTTGATGTGACCTTACTTTATTTTTATTTTTAAACTTTCGAACGCGACAAAAAGTGAAGCCACCCAAAACGAAGAGGAGCATATAAAAGAAAATTTGGGATGAAAACAACCAAATAGTTGGTTCAGTTGGATCCACTCGAAATTTTAAGTTGGTTCAGTTGGTAACCCAAACTACTCGAATGGAGTTCACGATGTTCATTTTTTTAATTATTAAAAAATTATATTTATTTATTTAAAATCTCATACGATCACTAGCTAGCAGTTCATAAATTATAAAGTTATTCATGAATTAATAATAATAATAATACTAAATAAATCAATAAATTAAAACTAAACCTTATCTTATGACATGACTTTTTTTCTATTAAAAAATTAAGGGATTGGCCCACGTGTAATCTTTTATCCAATCCACATAATAATAATAATTATTATTATTATCATTATAATAAATTATAATAAATCCAGCAAAAATTTATAAATTGAAATTAAATCACTCCATGCCAAGAACATGGGATGGGTCTTGCATCCAAAGTCAAGTTATTCCCTTTGCTCTAAAATTTTAATTGAATATAATATTTAAAATTAAAAAAATAAATAATTTTACCATTGAATTATTGAATTTCTTGAACTAATTTGACTAACTTTTTAGCGTTTGAATTTTTCATATTCTAAAATTTAAAAAATAATTAAGAAGTTATAAATTAATATACTCTTTTTAATATTTAATTACATCAATTAATACAAACTAAATTTAAGTGTAATGAGAGTTAAACCTTTTGTAATTATGATTATTTAAGAGTAAAAGTATTATTTTTTGGAGGGTATTTTCGTAACTGCACACAACTAGGTGACAAAAATGGCGATTGCAGTTTCGCACTCGCTCTGTTAAATACTTCTCAGGCGGTTCGCAGAGGACTCCCCCTTCGCTATTCTCTCTCTCTCAAAATGACTCTGGTTTGAAGTGAACTCCAGCCGGAAGATTCTTCAAGCGAGGTGAGTTTAACAATTTGCTTCATTATGATGAACCTATGATATTCTTCTCGTTGAGTTTAATTCGATGTAACTTCTGGGAATCACAAGTGTTTGTTTGATGTTTTGTGGAATCTGTTCTTCATTTGTTTGTAGGTATTTGCATTTTCTTGTCTGATTTAGTATTGTTGCTAAAGGATTTGGATGGAAATGGGAATTCTTGGCTTAAATTGGCTGCCATTCTGTATTTATGCTCTGTTTTCTTTGTAGCATTTTTGTGGAGGTCGATTCCTTGAACAATTTTTCTCTCATATTTTCTGCTGTGTAACGAATTAAGTTGTTAGAATGGTTTCTTACTGTTTGTTTGTTCGTTCATGACTCTCTCTTTACTTTGCGAATTGGGTTTGAATTTTCTAGGGATTAATGGTAGATGTTATGAAACAGTATCGAATTCCGATGCTATCGGTTTCATGTGTGAATAGCTAAAGTTGAATGATGATCTGGTGGCGGATATAGACGAATACGTGGAAAGGTATGATCATGAGTCACCAAACTGATTTAAAATATTCCTTCATGATTTTTAAATTGCTTTTTCTTAAGTAGAAAGTATAAAGTATAAAGTATAAATTTGATTTCTCTAAGTTGTAAGTTCGGATGATTATTTGGACTGACAGGATTCTCTTAGCAATTTCTCTGTTTTCAACTGTGATCTAATGGATGAATCAAACTTGAAAAATGTCTTCCTTGGTGTTCCTTGCTAGTTTTCATCCTTTTTGTAAACTATCTTGTGTATTGACTATTGTGAGAACCGTCGGTTGGAGAAGAGAATGAAACATTCCTTATAAGGGTGTGGAAATCTCTCCTCACAGAGCATCTTAAAAACTTTGAGGGGAAGCTCGAAAGGAAAACCCCAAAGAGGACAATATCTGCTAGTGGTGGGTTTGAACTGTTACAAATGGTATCAGAGCCCGACGCCAGGCAATGTGCCAGGACGCTGGCCCTAAGGGGGTGGATTGTGAGAACCCATATCGGTTGGAGAGGAGAACGAAACATTCCTTATTCCTTTTAATAAGGGTGTAAAAAACCTTTTGTACCCCCTAATTTTGAGTTCTCTTTTTATGGGTCTGCTTGGTGCTAATATTTTTATAGGTTGAATTGAGAGAATCTGTGGCAGCTTGAGTTAGATGGCTTGAGCTTGTTTGAACTTTGAAGTATGCTATCTATCTTATGTTTGTTGGCTTCTGCTGGACTTTAGATCAGTAATAAACTCATATGAGAATGACTGTTTTGAGTCGATATGTTATCCGATGCTGTCATGGGTACCCATGATGCTGATTTCGGTTCATATGTGTAGTAACATAGGATAAAGATTTGGAAAACGGCAGCTCTTGGTGAAAGGATCTTGAATACTCTTAGCTTCTGTGGAGATAAAAGCAGTCCTGTTCAAGTAGACGCTTTGTAAAATGCAAGCTTCTCAGCTTTATAGAGGTCAACATATGTCGAAAAGACTGTGTTATCAGCCACTTCAAGGAGTGGATGCCTACTGTGTCTCCCAATTTCAAACTTTAGGTCGCCAATTATATACCAATGCTGGCAACGAAAGAGCTCAGTTCAATCTTCAAGACATCAGTGATCGGTACTGCACTTTGGAGTCGTCCTCAGGAAGCCACGGCTATGCAAATCACAACTCGACGTCGACGACCATCACTTTCTCATCCAATGGGAGTCCTTCTGATCAGCATAATTCCCCTGACAATACGTATGGCTCACCAGTAAGCGGATCCTGCATAACAGATGATATTAGTGATTTTAGGCACAAACTGCTGGAATTGGAAACTGTGATGCTTGGCCCTGATTCTGATATTGTTGATAGTTTTGATAGTTTCTACCAGGAAGGAACTGAAAATTCAGAAGTGGGAAGTTGGGGACAAGTGATGGATGCAATCACTAAAGGGAACTTAAAAAAGATCCTAATAGCTTGTGCTAAGGCCGTGTCCGATAATGATGCCTTAATGGCACAATGGCTTATGGATGAACTGCGCAAGATGGTGTCGGTTCGGGGTGAACCGATGCAGAGATTGGGAGCTTATATGTTGGAGGGGCTGGTTGCACGGTCAACCTTCTCAGGCAGTAGCATCTATAAATCTTTGAGATGCAAGGAACCAGCAAGCATGGAGCTCCTCTCTTATATGCATGTTTTGTACGATGTTTGCCCGTATTTCAAATTTGGATACATGTCTGCAAATGGTGCCATTGCAGAAGCCATGAAAGATGAAGATAGAGTACACATCATTGATTTCCAAATCTCTCAGGGTACTCAATGGATCACTTTGATTCAAGCTTTTGCAGGCAGGCCTGGTGGACCGCCTCACATTCGTATAACCGGCATAGATGATCCTGCATCAGCTCACGCTCGGGGAGGCGGCCTAGATATCGTAGGGATGAGGCTTTCTAAGTTAGCAAAGTTATTTAATGTCCCATTTGAGTTTCACTCGGCTGCCATCTCTGGCTGCGACGTTCAGCAGAAAGACTTGGGAATTCGACGAGGGGAGGCTTTAGCAGTGAACTTTGCATTCATGCTACACCATATGCCAGATGAGAGCGTAAGCACCGAAAACCATCGAGATCGGCTATTGAGGCTGGTTAAGGGTCTGTCTCCAAAGGTAGTGACGCTTGTTGAACAAGAATCCAACACGAACACCGCTGCATTCTTTCCCCGGTTCATCGAAACGCTGGATTACTACAACGCCATGTTTGAATCAATCGACGTTACTCTTCCAAGGCAGCACAAGGAGCGAATCAACATCGAGCAGCATTGTCTAGCCAGGGAAGTTGTCAACATACTAGCATGTGAAGGGGCAGAGAGAGTAGAACGACACGAGCTACTCGGAAAGTGGCGACTGCGATTCTCAATGGCAGGATTCACTCCCTACCCATTAAGCTCTTTGGTGAATGCTACCATAAAAACGTTATTAGATAACTATTCTAACAGGTATAGGCTTGAAGAGAAAGAAGGGGCTCTATATCTAGGCTGGATGGATAGGGATTTGGTTGCTTCTTGTGCATGGAAGTGAAAATGTAGCCATGGTTTACAGGAACTAGCCATTAGAAACCAAGGGGGGCGCATGTTTTTTTGAGTTCCATTAGATGCTGAGACAAAACGTACACTTGTCTTTAACAAAATGTATTGCCAAGAACTTTCCTTGTCTGGTGATGGTAAATGTTTTCTATATGTATGCTATGTTGGGATGAGTTAACTTTCACGAAGGGTAGTAGCGTTTCTGTCTTGTATGACTAACCTACATAGACACTGTTGTTAGTTTAGATTTGGGGTTGTTCTCGTTATGTTCAGTAGCGTTCTGTCTGGTATGACTAACCCACATAGACACTGAAGTTGGTTTAGACTTGGAGTTGCTCTCGTTATGTTCAGTTAGATTATTTACCTGAGACACTTTGTGAGATCCTACATCGGTTGGAGAGGAGAATGAAACATTGAAACATTTCTTATAAGGGCGTGGAAACTTCTCCTTAGCAGACGCATTTTAAAATCGTGAGACTGACGACAATGAGTAATGAGTCAAAATGGACAATATCTATTAGGGATGGGCTTAGGCTGCTATAAATAGTACTAAATGGACAACATCGAGCAGTGTACCAGTGTACAAGAGGGGGTGGATTATGAGATCCCACGTCGGTTGGAGAGGGGAACAAAACATTTCTTATAAGGTGTAGAAACCTCTTTCTAGCATATGCGTTTTAAAACCGTGAGGCTGACAACAATATATAACGGGTCAAAGCTAACAATATCTGTTAGCGGTGAATTTGGGCTGTTACACATTTTGTTGGGATAAACTTGGCTATATCATGTGGTCCCCAACTAACATCTAGTGGCACTTGGTTTACCATAATTGATTCACATAGATACCATATCGTTAACACGACTCTTTATGAGAAACACTCGCACTCTTTATCAACACCAATTAAGAAGAGATTAAAAACAATTCGTAGAATGCTACAAAACTTTGTTTTGCTTGAAACGGCTTGAAATTTCATGGGATAAAACTCAAGATATCTTTATTTCTAAAATACTTAAATCATTTTTACGAGATATTATATTTATTTCAATAATAAATTAAATCGATTGCACTTCTAAAATGATTTAGCTAGAATAAAGTTATGGCTATCAAACAGGCCCCGACCCAACAAATACGTTAGTTGTAGTAGCAACTCTTGAACGCCGAGTTTAATAAGTCGGGTAGTTATACGAACCATCATGAAAAAAACAAAATTGTACAATACAATCATGTGAATGGGTTGCATAGATTGAATGACTCAATTTCATGGGCATAGGCAACCCATGAAATCCGCTTCCTCCATGCGTGAACCTCTTCAATTTCTACACCTTTTTCAACGGATTTTTCTGTACAAACATTATTAAAAGTTTTATAATTAAAAAAAAAAAAAAAAAAAAAAAAAAAAAAAAAAAAAAAAAAAAAAAAAAAAAAAAAAAAAAAAAAAAAACCACATAAAAACTTCACGCGACTTCTAATTCAATTAAAGTTGCTCCCATACTGAATTTTTAAAGAGTTCTTTTTTAATATTTTAATTTTATAATTAATAATTCCCCACTTATTTTATATTTTTCAAAATTCACGAATCCACCTGCACAAAATTAAAATTTATTTAAAATTTAATAAATTAATTATAGATGGGAGTAATTCAAAATTCAATTTTATATTTAATGGATTAATTAGGTTAAATTGCAAATTTATGGTTCGAAAAATGTTAGAATTTCATCCGAATAATTTGATAAAATCTGATAAATACTCTTTGCTACGATTCTGATAAAAATGGGAAGGATCAATTATAGCGTTTATAATATTCAAAATTTAACATAGTTTTTAAATCATTTTTTTAATATATTTTTGGTGATAAAATAAGAAAATTATACCATAAAAATAGGGTTTATAAGGTTAATTTTATAAAAATAATTATCTTCATTATTAAATATAAAATATGAAATTTTTATTACACGTTTTGTTAAAATTAAAAAAAAGAATAAAATTATTAATTACTTAATTCTTAAAATGATTAATTTGAAAGTCCACGATATTTCATTATTAGAAAGTCAATGTAGGGAAGGGAAGGCGTTGGATTATAGGACACGTAAATTGGAGAATGCCATCTTGAAAAGTTAAAGGTCAAGACTACGTCGTTTTGGCGATTTGATCGGGATTGCGCGCCACGTATAAATGGAGAACGACCCTGCCGCCTCGACTTGACGCAGGAAAAACCAACTGAACGGAAGAGAGAGAGAGAGGGAAGTTTTTTTTTTTTTCTCGCTCCGTTTCTTTGGAGATTTCCGTCCGGCATCAACACCAAGGTATTCTTCTTCTTCTTCTTCTTCCTCGTTTTGTTTCTCCTTCAAATATTCAGGTGGCTTAATGATCTGTCTCGTTTCAAGAGCTAACTCGTAATTTTTCGTGTTAATTGGCATGTTTAATAGGTTCTTTTTTCTTTTCTTTTTGTCAATGTCTTTACCTTTAGGTTTTGCGTTTGCAATTTTTCATTTTCTGTAATCAAGTTGATCTTTGCGTTTCTTCCGCTTTATCTGTATATATGATTTTCGATACGTGAACCGGAAAGCCTCAAATCTGCTTTTTCAGCTTTTTGAAATGGTTTCCCGGCGAATTTTCTGATTTCTTGCTCATCGGACTTTATAATTTTGTCTCTTGAAGTCCGTTTCATTTGCAAATGGTAATGCATGAGTATTTTGTTGCTCAAACCTCTCGATTGTTTTTGTTGTAATTCCAAAATAATAGCAAGAAGAAGAATTGCCGAAGAAGCAGTCAGGAAGAAGAGTATTTCTTTCGACTATCCGTTTTGGTTTAAATACGAATGATATTTTTCGGGTTGTAATAGTAATGTCAGGACTCTGTACTTCCGTTATATCGATGGTTTTTAGATATTTTATGAGAAATTATTGGATTAAGGTGAAGCTGGGTTAGCTGTATCAAGAATCAAGTTTATGAATGTGAGGATTAAACTCTGTCGCATTCCTTTTAGGATTCAGCTGCCAGCTCTTAGTTTATTATCTGGTTGGGTTCACATTCTCCTTTGTTCGTTTTTTTTTTAAATACCTCTTGGATCTTTATAAATGTCACTGTCATTTTAGACCCCAACACTGCTCTAATTTTCTCAACTCACTTCAAATTTGGAACTCTTTACAGATGCCAGCTGATAATTCAATTCCATTTGACCGAGATGCCGAGCCTTTTGTTGAGGTCGATCCAACTGGAAGGTTTGGACGATACGATGTTCTTCTTGGGTCTGGAGCAGTGAAGAAAGTTTATCGGGCATTTGATCAGGAGGAAGGTATAGAGGTTGCTTGGAATCAGGTTCGATTGAGGAAATTCAGTGGGGATCCAGTGTTCATCAACCGCTTGAGATCGGAGGTTCAGCTGCTGAGCACGTTGAGTAACGATTATATCATAGTTTGCTACAGTGTTTGGAATGATGATGAGCACAATACGTTGAATTTCATTACCGAGGTGTGTACATCAGGAAATCTGAGGGATTATCGTAAGAAACATCGACATGTGTCAATTAAGGCCTTGAAGAAGTGGTCAAAGCAGGTACTTGAGGGATTGGATTATCTTCATAATCATGAGCCTTGCATTATTCACCGAGATCTCAACTGCAGTAACATATTTGTCAATGGGAATATTGGTCAGGTATTTGCATCACTCTTGATAATGCTACTATCTCTAACCTAAGATAAATTTTGCAGATGACTTATCTTTTTTTCGGTTTTTATATTCTTGATCATTATTTTAGGTGCAAGCAAATCACCTTTTGTGGAAATTCAAAAAAAATGCCGATGACTCATTAAAAGATTTGCCTGAGCTGCTTGAATAATAGTCCATATGCTACACATGATTGTCGATTGACTTTGTACTGATTGAAGCTAAAACTGAGGTTATGATCAATTAAAATATTTGTCGATTGGCTTTGTCAAATCTCCCTTGTTCACAAGAACGTGCATGTGGTTAGACAAATTCATTTTAGAACATTGTTTCCTGAATCCAAGTATCAACTATATAATCTCAAATTTGCCTGCTAATCTATATGATTCCCAAAATAAGATTAAACCACAAGTATCCAATAGTCCATCCACTTGTTTATCTTTGTGGTATTGAAGCGTGATTACACTCATGTTTACAGGTGAAAATAGGTGATCTAGGTTTTGCAGCTATAGTTGGCAAGAGTCATGCTGCGCACTCAATCATAGGCACACCGGAGTATATGGCACCAGAACTATACGAGGAAGATTACACAGAGATGGTGGATATATACTCTTTTGCGATGTGTTTGCTTGAGATGGTCACGATGGAGATACCATACAGTGAATGTGATAGTATTGCCAAGATATACAAGAAGGTGACGACTGGAATAAAACCCCAAGCATTAAACAAAGTGACAAATGATGAAGTTAGGGCTTTCATTGAGAAGTGCATTGCACAACCAAGGGCAAGGCCTACCACTTCTGAACTTCTCAAGGACCCCTTCTTCGACGAAGTCAGGGATGAAGATTCCGAACAGAGTTATTAGAGGAGAAGCACTTTTAACCAGAGATTTTAAGACGTGTTTCCTCTACCCGTGCCACCACCGACCGATGAGCATGAAGGTTTTTCTCTTTTTCATACTGCACTTCAGTTTTTTCCCATTTCTGTAATTCATTTCTCGTCACTGGATTCTTGTCAATGACTTCATGTCTATGGAATGATATCTTGGATTTGCCGAGGCAAGCAATAAAATTCTTTTCCCTTGTAGCCATCTCTGGGACTCCTCTGTTTTGACAAGAAGGATTATGAACGAACTTCGCATCTTACAGAATACAAATATGTTGCGAAATAAGCATTCTTGGATGAATTGCATATCCTATTTCCAGAAATGCACAGGCGTAAGCAAAGCATTTTGCATTTTGCCCAAAAACTAAGATAAGTGGTGGATTTTAGATAAGGGAAGGAAGTGCCTCTAGATTTGAGCCAGTTCTAATAGCACGAGATCCCAGGACGTTCTTGGAAGATTGTATAACTTCTTGTTCATTGGCATAGAGCTGGCGGCACACCAGCATGTAGACATCAGCCCCGGCGGTAACCTCGGTTCTTGTCTCCTCTGTCTTTCTTAAGGTGAAGAATGCTCTTTTACCACAAATTTCACATCTAGCTGGCAACTTTGTTACTGCGTCAGCCAAGGTCAG